GCAGTATATCGGCTGACAGGACAGGAACATTGGTTTGACTGACTTATGGCCTGACAACATCTCATCTGATCGCAGTTCACTGTTGTTGTACTGAAGCTCCTCGTCACCTGTATATTTTCCACATTCGATTGTCTAGCGCCTGGCACTGAAGCGAAGTTGGAGTGTGCGTCTGAAAAGTCGTCCATTTGATGTGCTTGTAAAGACGTTCTGCATCTAAATAAACGCAATTATTGTCAAGAAAAAAAGACAGAAGCAGCAGTTGTGAGCGGGGTGGCCAGCCATAGCTCTGCCCTCTGTTAATTGCATTAAATATTTTTAACGAGTTAAACTGAAAAAAAAAAAAGATTGCCTGTGTTAATGCGCTAATTTTGACCGTGCTAATTTATTTATGACATCATTGCAAAGAGAAAATCAGGGGCAGCAATTTACTGATTTTTTTCATTGAAAAAACAGCACAACAATACCAGAAATTTGCATTAAGAAACTTAACTTAAATATTTGTTTAGCTAGTAAATATTTTGTCCCTGTTGACCCTGATAGCATTTCTTTTCCCAGGCATCCTGTCTTAAACTGCCAAATCTCCTCCTTGAAGAATGCCAATTTCCAAATGTCTCCCATTATTCCACAAATCCGCATATTTCATATTGAAAAAGCTGATCCCTTTGTTGTAAAACAAAGAGTCTATTTTAGCCTCAGATTTTACAGAATGTGATACATGATCCAAAAGATGTTTGAATCTAAGACAAAACGAACCCCTGTCAGTGTGTCTTTAACCTTTGATTATGATCACCATCTGATAAACAGGATAGAAAAATGAGCATGTTGTCATCAGCAGGTTTTCTTAGGGGCTTTCACACGGAGCACTGCTTTCATAGTTTGGTTAATTTGATATGAAAGTGGTTTTCTAAGTCCATTCGTGGCCTGTGGTCTGGGGTGTGTGGAAGTGAAATGCTCTTGATGACGTGTAATTTGCAGAATTGTTTGCTTATGGTTTATATCTCTCATGCAGTGCTGTCCTCTGTCTTAATTATATCTTTAGAGAACAGCTTGCATTCTTTGCACCTCTAGCATCTGCTGCAGACAAACCCAAGTGTCGTTCTTTGTGCATTTTTTTGAGATATAAAGAAGTTTTATGTGTATGTTTTAGGGCCCTATTAAATTTGTTTTATTTTCCCAAAAATGTTGTGTTAGTTTTACCTTTTTCCATGCAGTTTTTTTCTGCATTCCTTTTTTTTCTGTTTTGATAGTTCTTTTTTAATGGTTAGATTAAATTTTAGCAAAGAAACTTGTCTAATTAATTTAAATCATGAAACTTACATTAAAAGATTAACACAAATGACATTTCAGGGTCCTATTAAATCAGTTTTATTTTTTTAGTTGTATTTTTCCTAAATTCCATGTTTTCCATTTGAATTATTCTGTTTTAACTGTTTTATTAAAGCATGTCTAATCAATTGAATTCATAAAACATTAACAATTTAATTTAATTTATTATTATTGTTATTATTATTATTATTATTATTATTATTATTATTATTATAGTGCCCTATGATTGACTGATTTTTTTTTCTTTTTTTTC